ACTATACTTTAAAAACTATACACTCTACTGTAGTGTACCCTGTCAACTATAGTATACACTTTGAAACATCCTGGGGAAAAAATATGGGGGCAAAAGTTTGTTAAGAAGAATCATAAAGGAGAATGTGGCAGGGTGGGAGTCACAGCTGGAGTGAGTTTAGTAACCTTTTCCTCTTGCTCTCTCGAGTCTAGCACAAAAACAAAATGATGGATGCATAGAGTTAGATTATCATTAAAATACTTTTCTTGCTATTCACATGATACACTTTCCACTTATGTCAAATATCAATTTATTAATTACCAAAGGGAAAGAGTATATAGATTGTGATAAGTTCATTTTAATTATTTTGGAAAATTTAGTTTTAAAAATGATTTGTTTTTCCAATTATGTTTAGCGTGTCAGATGATGTCCAGAGAAGATAGCAGATATTTCCTCTGTATCAGAGAAAAGTTGAGCTGGTGTGAAAGAGAAAAACCATGGATAATTTCAGAAAACAAATGACCTTCCAAAAAGAGATTATATGGTTTATTTCAACAGGCACATTAATGAGTACTTGTGTGTGCAAAGGGATATAAATTTTTAATTATAGAAAATGAAATATGCAAAAATTTATTATCTCCAATTTCCCCAAACTTCTGTTTCAATGTATTTCAAGTTGTCATTTATATGGACATAACTATCCAAGCAATTTTCTTTCAAGTATCTATGTTCTATTCAAAATTTTTGGAATCTGAATTCACATCAAACCTAAGAGCTATATATCTCAAATGTTATCTACCATTTTAGGTTTTAGAAAATGTCACTATGCAATTGCTTACTTCTCAAATATTTCAAATTTCTACAGTATTGCCTTCAAATTAGAATCAGCTGTTTGTCCATAAAAGACTAAGTAGTGAAGAAGAAAAGAACCAGTTGCAAACCTATACTCCTAAAGATTTTTTTCATTCGCATAAAATAATGAACAATCTAAGCTACATTGACTTGTTGGTTGTTTGTATTTAGAACGGTCCATAACACAAAGGGGTACAAAATCAAGTCTATAGGGAGACAGGCAAGCGGACAATTATTTAATAAAATAAGAATTACAGAGAAGAAGAAAAGAAGTGTAATCAGTGTTTTGAACAAAATGTGCATGAAAATCAATTGATTTTGTAAACTTTTACTCAAGCCGTAATAATAAAAATGTTCGTAAAACCAAAAAAAAAAACCCCAAATGTAATGGTTTATAAAAATTGATACCTCAAACTTTAAAGATTTTACGTTCACATAAGATAATGAAAAAATCAGTGCTAAATTGATTTTCAAGTACTGTGATTTTGTTTTGGAAACCACCTGTAAAATTTTAGATTTTTTTCAAATTTTAGGAGTGATATCAAACAACAGCGCACATAATCTAAATATACTTATCCAATATAATTGATGATATTTTAAAAAATTACTATTTGTTAGAACTCATTGAAGTAACTTCTTTTGAAATTGGGAGCAGGAAATGCCCCTTTGAAAGCTAGTTAATAGTATTAATTGACCCTGAATATATACATACCTGTTCTGGTCTTTTAAAACTAATAATTGTTGAAAATAGAAGCTGAAAATAATACATTTATTTGAATAATTCAAGAAAAATTTTACTGTTTCTGTGATGATTATCTGAATGCCATCACATTTCAATGTTTTATATCAGTTTTCGTCATAATCCATAGCTGTGTCTTTGAAGACACCCTAAGACAGAATTGTTAACACCTCTGGAAAGCAGTACTCTACCTCCAGAATAAAAATCTTCCCTAAAACCCAAGGGTACATATCCAACGTATAATTTATAAATAACATGCTATGCCTATAAAACAAGTAGACATCCTATAAATTAACATATATCCCTTCCTATGACATCATGCTATGATAAATTAAGTGATCTTTTGGGTTTCTGTGTTCTCATTTTCATTTCTTCTGGGTAATGAACTATTACACATATTTAATGATTTTTTTCTGAAATGGCAATAAAAATTTGTTTTGATTCTTTATCCTTAAAATAAATCAGAAAAAGGTCAACCAATTACTGACTTCCCATTTAAAGATAAAGAAGACCAAGCACGAAGCTTATAATTGATTTCAATCTGCAATCTCTCTCCTAAGTTTCTTGTTCCTGTCATGTGAAAAGATGTGTCATATGTTGTAAACACTTAGAATCTTCAAAAACATCAGTCAAGAGTGACAAGTGTGGAAGAGACAAAGCAAACATATAAGGACTTAAGATAAAATTACTTAATCGGCTAGCTTGACCAGTAGCACTTTATTTCCTACTTCTTACTTAAACTCTTATGGTAGATTAAAATTCAGCTCAGCTATATTTTCAGCTCTAAAATTTTCTCCACAAAAGGAAATAACATCAATTTTTCTGAATGGAAGGCCGCGCAATATCAAATAGCCTTTGGATTTCCACTCCATTATTCAAAATTAAAATACTAAGAATTAAGATGACCACATTTGCATGGGAATAAAGAAAACTAAAATACTCTCATAAATATGAATGAATTCTTACATCAAAAAGATTCTTTCCTATGTGTTCTTTAATAGCAGAACATACTTTTAATCATCCACTAAACACACAAAAATTCAGACTATGTAGAAAATAATTAGCCTATTTACCAGTTGTTTTCTTGCCACTCAAGTCAATGTTTTGTTTTGCCCACATCACCTGTTAACAATTGTCTTACAAGTCCAATGTCAAATTTTAAAGCTAGGGTACTTATTACAGAAGGAAGTCCTGGCAGTGCTCAGTTGTTACTGAAAGATCAATGGTTCAAACCCAATAGCTTCCTCAGAAAAACGGTATGGCAGTATATTCCCATAGAATTTAAAATCTTGGAAATCTGGGGAAGAATTTCTCCTCTACCTATAAAATGTCTATGAGTCAGAATGAGCTCAACAGCAATAGTTTTGTTGTATAGGATGGGAGGTATTACAGTTCTATGAAGCTACACTTCATTATATTTCATGAACGATATTAAAGTATATTTCTAAATTGACTGTTTGTTTCCATAGAACTGCCAAGTCATAGAGGACATATTACAATCAGAAATTCAAACCATTTGTAGAATAAATGAATATATTATTCATTTAAAGAGGTGCTCAGAATAGTAATTAAGCAGATACTTGGAAGGATAGCAAGTCAAACATAATTATTTTATACATTTGTCTATAGATGTATCAGTAAAACATGAAAAGTTAAATTCCAGGGTACAATCTTTAGTCCATTACATGGTCAGTGATGGTGCTGACATGAGCAGTAATTAGGAGGAGCATCAGGTGTTGAGGCCCAATGGCATGGCAGAAACACAGGGTGCTTTACAAAAACCCAGAGTCTCTGTGACCTGAAACCCTATAGGGTACAGTTTTAATCTGACACACATAGGTCGCCAAGAATCAATTCTGAGTCTATAGCATCGGGTACGGACACAATTTTAAAAGTCTAGTTCTCTATCTTTGCCAGAACTAAGCGCTGAGCTCTCCACAGCAACTGGTAACTTGGAATTGGATACTTACTGAAGTCAATAGCAGTAAAGATTCTAATTATTTGCATTATGAGATTTCTCCTTCTAGCCTTTACCCGTGTTTCAGAGGACTTAAAAGACAAAGTTAGTTATTTTCATGCAGATATTTATGGTGTCCCCAAGTGGAGAGGAAGAAGGCTGGAGAGGGGACACCCAACTGTAGATTTGTACAGATATGCATGTAGATTAATGGTAGGTACATATAATTTTTTTTTTTTTTACTGGAGACTTTACAAAAGTTCTGGAATTGTCAATTGGTATTCACTGATAGAGCAAGAAGAAATTTTTGTCATTTCAAAGACTTAGAGGCATTCTAAAACTTTGAAACTAACAAAACTGTGCCCATAAGAGGGCAGTAGGGGGCCAAGCTGCACTTGAGTCTTCTGTTCGCTCTTTTCTCTAGGACTGGCTGATGCTATCAACCTTTCCTCTGCCGCCTGCGGTGGCAATGGAGGTGTAAGGATCTTATCAGGATCCTGAGAATGCTTAGAGCACAGAGACAGCAGGTTCCTCTGAGGAAACAAGGAAACTTGGGATCTATATGATGGTGGGCCATCGCCTAGGCAGGATATTTGAGCTGGGGCAAAGGTACTTGTTTGGTAAACTGGTTTTCACTTTTGGCTTCTTAAGGAGCTGAAGGGGGAGCTGGGGCCTTTCCCAGTGCCTACAGGGCTAGATCTGTCTGCTGTGCGCCAGCCACAGCAGATGCAACCATGTGCGCAAGCATCTCCTTAAAACTATTTGCGTGTGTCTGGCTGTCACTCTGTCTGTGACAGAGACACCACCTGAGGAAAGTTCCCTCGCGCAGAAAGGACTGTAGCATCGCCTTGTTGAGTCATTAGACCCCAAGACTGTCATTGTCACCTCATCATTTTGTTTCCTCCTGGATGATTTATTTAGGATTCGACATGAGTGAGAAATGTGCGCCTTTTTGTAATTGTATTCTGTCTGTGACCTTACTTCTTTGAAGAATGAAAGTGGCTTGGAGAAAAACAGAACCCAAATAAGGGGAAATTCCCCTCAGGACTATAAAATATAATGATTAAGAAGAGCTCAAAGCTTGTCAGGATTGATATTCTTCACTGTCACTCCTGCTAGCCTCAGGCAAATCATTTAATGCCTCTTTTCCTCAGTTTCATTACCGTTTGAATCTGGTGTGGAACCATTCTGACCACTTGCCCCCTCACGAGCACACAAGGTCTTGATGCATGGCCACGTCCCAAAGCAAAGTTCAGACAAAACTCTAACCCTTCTTCTCTATGCATGATCTGCTCTCACCCAGCCATCCCCAGGGAAATGGAGTTGCCCCATTTTAGGAAGCCCCTTTCCAACTGCAGAGCGCACCACACCTGGAGCGCTCTCTGAAGGTACTGGCTCAAGGCAAGAGGCGCGCACAAGAACTCTGGTCCCTACCTCTCCAGGCTGAAGAGTTTGTTTGGGAGGTTTTCCTACCTGCCCCAGGTTTTTGCCCTTCTTACTGCCGCCGAAAGCCAGTCCTTGATATATGCCCACAGATCGATTGGTCGCCTGGGCAGGCATCTCCCCGCCCAGAGAGGACTTGATGGAGTTGATTTTGGGCCGCGAGCTTCCCACCATCTGTGAGCTCTCCACCATCAGCACCGCGGCCAGTAGGAGCAGGCATCGGGAAGAATCCTTGCCCCGCATCATTGCAGCCATCTCTCCCAGCGAGAGGTCGCCAGAGAAGCTCAAAATCCGAAGGACTGTGGATGCAAAGACAGTGATGATCCCAACTGGGACCCTTCACTTAGAGCACTGTGGCTCGTCGTTTCTGTGCTCCAAATCTCTCCTGACTTCAGGATCTGGGACCGAGTGAACACAGTTTCAAGCTCCAGGCTAGGAGCAAGCCCGACCCAAGCGAGACCCGCTTCTCCACCAGGGCAGGAAGTTCTTCAGTAACTGGAAGCAATCAAAGGCGAGGCGCCTTCTTGGCCAAGGAGGCGTGACCCGAGGTGCAAGAAGACCCAGCCGGCAGCCCTCACCGCTTGGGCTGCTCCTTGCTCCTCACCTCCAGGGTCCTGCAGGGGCTGCACAGTCCTCCTCTCAGCTGTTCAGGGGGTCTGCACCAGTTCCTTCTCCTTCCACTGCAGTTGCTTTCTGCGCCTCTCTTTTACTTCCCTACCCTTTAAGTTTCCAATTTTACAGAACACTATCCCTTTTGCAGGTTAGCATGCACCTTGCTGGGAAGTCAAGATCCACCCTCCTCGGACTAGCTACTCCGTATCCACAAGGAGTCAGGTTCCCCAAACACACGGTCAGAGTCCTGTGTAAGTTGTCTTGGGTTCGTCCAGAGCAAGGACTCGCTGCCAGGGCTCTGGGATGCCCCTGGAGCCTGCTTCAGCTCTGCTAGGTCTTTCTCTTTCCCTCTCCTCGGTTCCTAGCAGCCCCTTTAGCTTTTTTATAGCTTCCCACAGTGGGTTTCATTTTTCCTCCGCCCCCAATTCAAGAGTGACAAAGAGTGAAAACGCTTCTCTCACCCTCACCCCCACGCTCCCTCCCTCCTCCTGTCCTCTCCCCCCTGCAGCTCCATCCTTTCCGCTCCTGCTCCCCCCTCCCCACACACCAGCTCCTCCTCCTCATCCTACATCCTCTTGCCAAGGTTTAGCCCCACAACAATTTTGGGATCTATCCCCCAGAGGAACTTGGGCACTCCCGATCTTTGACAATAGTTACAGCGGGCTGATGGGGCGCTTGGCAGCAGGCAGGGACAAATGTGGAAGTGAAAAAGACAAGCTGTCACTCTACGTGCATCAAGATGGTCACCACCCTTCCCTTCTTGGGTCTCTACCTACCTCTAACCCTGGACACCTAGAAAAGCACTGGAAAGGCCTTGCAAAAGCTTTAGAGAAGCGAAAGCCTGTGGTGCATGTGTGCTGGAGCATGGTTTCATTGAGGGTTTGCCCCTCAGTGGATGTGTGACTGGGATCAGAGCAGGGGGATTTAGAATAGCAGGATGAAAGGAGAAAAATGTTCGCACTCTTCTGTTAGGGAGGTGTTTTGGTCTTTCCAGATTCAGCCCTCCATCCTCTCCCCAGCACACTGGGTATTTATTTCCTCAGGAGTGGACTGAGGAGGGTGCTATCCCTGGGGTACGCTCTAAGAGTTTGAACTTTATATCCTCGCTGGGCATCTTAACTCAAAGCTCTGTTTGGCAATAGAAAATTCAAGGACAGAAATGAAAGGGGGTAGAGAAGCCTTTAAGGTCTTGTCTTCCTTAGCTCCCAGCCTTCTTTCCCCTGGGACTCTCAAGAGGGGCTTTGCCTGTCAACTTCCAAAGATTTTCAGGTGTTATTTGCTTTCGCGAAGGTTGAATGAGGCTCTGAGAGAGGCTAGCGCGCGCGCGAGCTGGACGCTGGGGGGCGACAGCGACAGCCACTGGGAGAAGCGCAGGCACATTGCAGCCCACTGGCAAGTCGTCCTGGGCAAGCTCCAGGCTTGAAGAGATTTGGTTTCAAAATGCCAATGCTTCCAAGGCCGTGTTAGGATAGTCTCCCTGGGGTGCGGGCATGGATCTGAAAAGGAGGGAGAAGGGAGAGGGTTGTCCGGAATCATTGCCATTTCTCTAATTCTGGCCCCAAAGTCTGGAAGCTGAAAAATTCAGGCAATTTTTCAGGACCTGTGGTCAGAAGATGCTGGCTTTCAGGGGAAGGGAGTAGGTTACTCTTTGGAGCCACATCCTTTAGAATGTCTGCATCTAGGAGTCCTGAGTTTCACACCTGAGCCTGGCACACACTAGCACATACAGGAGGACCATTTAACATGTTGTCACTGAGTGAAAACTGCAGTAACTCCAAGTTTTCCCTCAAAGAGTGCAGAGTTCTGAAGTGTGACTTCACAGCTCTTCTCTCCCTGATAGATAGCTCCAGCTTTGCCTACAGTCTGTCATCTGGATTTTTTTTTCCTTACTGTGTTAGCTTGATTTTGGAAAAATAAGCAAATAGGGTCTAAAATTTGATGACCCTTTGGTATGTTGCCTAATCACTGGAATGCTTAGAGATTTCATACTTTTGTTCTGGGGGGTGTGTGTATGTGTGTGTGTGTGTTTTGGTGTTTTTGTTTTTGTTTTTTTTAAATTTGAAAACAAAAATGTGTCCAGGAATGAAGCACAGCATTCTGACTTCTAGTAGACAGGTCAAGGAAACTGATCATGTCCTGTAAATTGGTAGGATTCAGCACTTCGACTGTACAAAGAGATGTGTTTTGCCTTCATCCTGATTTCCAGCACAGAAAATCACAGTGAACTAGAGAAAACAAAGTGAGAAGGAAACTGTAATGGATTCAGGTAGTTTGAAGAGTATTTTACAGTAAAAGGGGGGGAAAAAAAATAACAACACCAAACTAGAACTAAATTTAGATTCAATAAATTAAGATGTAAATATTGAGCATATGCTGATGGAGGCGCTGGATTGAAGTGAAAAAAACCTTTGAAGATGCTTTGCTTGTTTCTGTTTCTTCCTATTCTCTCATCTCTAACCAGAACTTTACTTCACACACGTAGATCTAACTCTTCTCATAAGTGCTGCTATAAAGAAAAATGGTGTCTAGTGCAGTTTGTCTACTTCTTAGAAATCTCTCAGCCCGATATCCTAATACTGAGATTATCTCTAAGGTGAATACAATTAGGAACACAGGTATGTGATTAACATGACAATAAATTCCCAAAGCTATTTTAACAGAAACAATTAAAATCAAAGAGATCACATGCAATTTACTCATACAGATACACTTTTATAAAAAAAATTACACATATAAAATTAAATGCTAAAACATACGTACCTTAGAATGGAGAAGGAAGCCTAAAACTATTTTAATTCATGACTCAGACTTCTTTCTGTATAATTGAATCACAAACACTAACAGTCAGAAGCAGATACACATAACCCATATGTAGACAAGTAGATAGGGGTATACAAAATCAACTAACTGCAAATAAACATAATCCTTTGGATTACTGTCATAACCACACATGTGTTTGTCTCATGTGGGTTTGTGTTTTTTTCCCCTAAATACAAAGATACAGTCTTCATATTCTACTTGGGAGACAAGAATAATTAAGAGTATTTTAAAAATTTCTTCTTTACAAATATTTTTAATAACTTCTTTTCAGATCTCATTCCAAAGCATTTACATTATGATCTAGCAAGACCCTCTCTCTGATTAAAAAAAAAAATGAAGAGGAGAAACAGCAAGCACTTCCATTTTTACGGATTATTTTCACGTTCACCATAATAATAATAATAATAATACCTTCCATGAGTATACCATCAATCATTTATCAGATGGTCATATAATGGTGGATCCCATGTTACTACTATGCTGAAAACTATGCCACTGATATTTAAAATATTAGCAAGTGTGACCCTCATGGTGTATGGGCTCTATTGGAGTTTCCAGACTTTTCTGCCTTAGAGCAAAAAAGGGCTAATGGTCTAGTTCTGATGAATTGCCTATTAAAACTTTGTGAAACACAATAGAATATTACCTGATGTTGTGCTGAAATATTAGTCCTGAGGGTGAAAGGCACTAAATTACACCGTGGTGGTAACTCAGCATGCCACCAATTGTTAAGATAGTGCATTTCCAGGAAATATTTCAGGAGTCAACATGAATCATAGACAATTTTATGGCAATCATCAAGAACAAAATTAGTATAATTCTCAAGATTTTGAAATTACTTTCTCCATTTAATTACTAATCCCAGGAACTAAAATGCTTATATGTTGGCTGAATGTTTAGTGGTCTTCTCATTCTCCACTTTCTCCAACAGAGGACTCATAAAGACAGTATGGTGGTCTTGTTGTTGTTGATAGTGCTTACATTTTCCTCAAAATGTTTGATTATTTTATTCTGATTTTTGCACAACACTACAAAAAATGCTAGTAAAGCATTTTGATTTGCAGATCAAAGGGAACTGTTCTGTGCTGAATCATTGTGGAGTAAGTAGACAACACTGACTCTGATATCCTACTAGCCAGAGCCCTCAAATTCCTGGACCAGTAGCAGATAAAAGGAGAAGCCAGATGTCAAAAGAAAGAAGTCATGGAATATGGCAGGGGTCCCAGAGAGACAGGAATGGAGCCTATCAAAGTGACCGCAGAGGAAAGTGGTCAAGATGGCCCTCATTATAAGTGTTGGGAGATACTGTCTCCTTTTGGGCTAAGTCATGTTTGTTTGTTTTCTGTATTATTTGTACATGTATTTTTAAATGGACAGTTAATATACAAAATAATGTGATACTTAATTTTAAAACTTTGTCTATGAAAGAAGAAAGGGGAAAAATCATAGCCTCATTACTTTTATCCAGGGTTTTGAACATTCTTAAAAATTGTAGACATCTATGTATTTTACTGCACTGAAGTATGTATTTTTAAAAAATGGGCAGTCCTCTCCCCTTAAGATTTTCATCCTTGGAAGCTCAATGAAGAGTTCCTATGAGTAGGAATTGTCTCAATGGCAATCAGTTTTGATCCTTTCACAAGAAGTGTAAACTCTTTTTTATGCTAAGTAATGGACCAAGTGGCAGCATCAGGATGGATGGTGAAGAGATTGAGATTGTTCACAACTTTAGTCTGCTTGGCTCCACAATCAACACTCTTGGCACCAGCAGCCAGGAAATTAAAAGACATATTGCAATGGGAAAGTCTGCCATTAGAGAACTCTCTAAAGTACTGAAGAGCAATGGTGTGT